TACACATGAAGGAACTCGTAAGAGGGTGGAGTTGAGTTCTCCGGTTGTTCCTCCGATAATCAAGTTAGTAGGTGATATTGAGTAAGGAAATATAGAGTTAGCTCTTAGTTACGTAAAAAGGTCAGAGAGAGTTACCTCATGTAGTGCCACTCCTTTTTATAGTTGGTAGAGTAATAAAGTCCATGGGGGCTAGAGTAATAATGATATTTGTCAAGGCAGTTAATGTGAGAGTAGTTGGCTAGCAAGGGGTTCGAGGTAAGTGTCATCTTTTGACTCCTCAGGCTCAGGGCTGAGAAATACATCCTTTTGACTTAGTTACGCTAGGTGTTGGCTAAACAATGGACCGAGTCATATCGCTGGTGGTCAATTAAGAGGTTGGCTGAGTAGTACCACCTCATGACTCGGTTACGTGAGATGTCGGCCAATCAAGTCGTTCGTGCCGAGTCGGGTTATATCTTAGTTGTGAATTAGTTTGGTTAAGCAGAGTGTAAGACACGTGTCGACTTCTTTGTGGAGATAATATTTAGCATTTTTAGGGGTTATAACACACGCGCGCGTGCGCACACACACTCACACACACACACACAGTAAAGCTCTTATTAACTTAAGTGGATAATAACACTTGTCCACCAAACTTTTTATCCCTTCATTATGCTTTGAGATTTGTGCCTTTATTTGTGTAACATACTAGCACAAAAATCAATGCAAAATTAATGAATAAAAAAGTTGGTGAACAAAGGGCTCCCACCCACTTAAGTTTATAGGAGCTTTACTCTCTCTCTCTCTCTCTCTCTATGTATATGCATATGTATGTATGTATATATATATACATATACACATACATATATATACATATACATGTACATACATACACACACATACATGCATGTGTGTGTGTGTGTGTGTCTATATATATATATATATATATATATATATATATACACACACACACACACACACACACACACACACACATGTATGCATGCATGTGTGTGTATGTATGTGTGTGTGTATATATATAGGCATACATACACACACCACATGCATGCATACATGTGTGTGTATGTATATATGTATGCGTGTGTTTGTATGTATATGTATGTATGTATGTATATACACACACATGTACATATACAAATACATACACACACATTTGTGTGTGTGTTTTTATGCATACACGTGTATGTATGTGTGTGTGTGGCCAAGACCCTCAACCTTGTACATTGTTCTGCCTATACTTAAGCACCCTCACTTTCAAAACGAACTCTCAGACTATGTTTGGATAGAGTTTTTAAGGAGAAGAGGGGGAGGGAGAGAGAAGTTCACAATGCTAACCCTCCTAACATTGTGTTTGTTTGCACTTTTTAGTTAGCAATGGTAGAGAAGGAAAGTGATGAAAATTAGAAAATTTAACCACTTTTTCAACTGTCCAAAAGTGGATGGATTGAGAGGGAAGGGGAGAGCTTTTAAGTGGAATTTTCTTAAAATTTTAATATTGACCTATACGATTAAAACGAAAAGGTGTTTTTTCTTATTTTATTAGAAGGGCACACTGGTCAATTAGCTTCTATTCTCTTTCCTTCCCATGCCCTACTCAAAACAAACACATATTATAGTGTACCCTTCAATCCTCTCGTTTCCTATCTAAACACAACTGATTACATTCTGTCGTTTTCCTTTCCACTCCCTTTCCTTGGGTTTAAATCAATCATTCCCCTTCCTTCACCCCCTTTGTATCCAAAGTGACTGTTAGACTTGGGACGCTTATTAGGGATTAATTTTAAATCTATTTTATATTTAGCAGTTTTGTAAATGGTGTAAATGATGTATTTTATTATGACTTTTCTGTAGTTCGTACTAAGTCCTTATCTATTTGGTGTATTTTGAAAGCAAATGTTCAAATTATTATTTTTATCTTTTTTACAGTAATGCCATTGTAACGGGGTTGGCCAACTTTGCTTGCTTATCGTAACTTATATGCACGCAAATGTAAAAGGGAACCACTAGATCTTTTGTGGTAGCATCAAATCTCCACCGTCAAAAGTTTGGACGGTCTAGATCAGTCTTCAAAATTTTTTATAATAAAGGCAAAGACGAAAGAATCCTCTTCCTCCCTCAAAATCTCTCACCCCCCGTAGAGAAGAAGTCAAGAAGTCGAGGGAGAGAGAGGGGGAAAAAAGGGGAAAAGAAGGGAGGGGAAGAAAAAATCCTCTTTCTCTCTCCTCTCTCTTCACCAGGAAGAAAGATGGAATCTTCCCCGGTCTTCTTACCGTACGCCGGGCCGGCGCAAGGTAGCATCGCTGGGGCAGTGGAGGAGGAGAAGGGGAAGGAGAACGAGATCTCCTCGCAGGTTGACCAGTTCCTCGTGGAGGCGATAGAAAACCCTCGTCATCGTCTCACCGGTTCGTTTCCATTCTGCCTTGATTTTCTTGTTTGCCCTAATTTGTTTAATTGGATTTCGATTCTGTAGATCTTTAGAATTGTGGGGGATTTTGTGTTGAATTTTTTAATTTTTTTTAGGATTAGGGTTCTTCTTAATTCGGAAAACCCTTTTGGAAAGATGTCGGCTTTCATGGGTTTCAGTTTTTGAAGCTAAGAATTGATGAGAATTTGTTAGAGTTGCAATGTGGAATGTGTTAAGCTTTTCTTTCTGGATATTAAGTATTGATTTTTTTAATTATTAAGAGCAGATTATACCCCTAAGGTGAGAAAATTTCACAATGAGTTGACAGAGCTTTGCTAACTGGCCAGCTGGTTTGATGTTTGTATTTGAGATAGACTAGTTATTAGCATATAACCTAGTGGCAAGGTGGAGAGTGGATCGACTACCCAAATGCTTGTGGTAGTGGAGCTATTGTCAACTTATTGATTAAGTAACAAAATTCTTTAGGAGAGATGAGAGCCCTTGACTAAGACGTAAGGTTATATGTTTTTTCTTCAAGGAATCACATGAATTATATTTATGCAACCATGAACCAGAATGGGATGCAGATCAGTTGTTAAGGCGCAAGGTGCATAGCAACACGCAAAGGCCTTAACGTGCTCATTGCACAAGACAAGGCGAACCTCATTGAAATTGGGCACAACCCCAACCACACTTTTCCTTAAGATTTTGAACACAGAATTGATGAAAAACCATGATGAATGACAGTGATTTCCGTATACAATGATCAATTTCTGACAGTACATTTCTATTCAATAATTTTCTCAGTAATACTGATTAAGAAGTTATGAGATGGGAAAAATGGCATCTCAAGCAATGTTGAATTGGGAAAAAAGAGAAAAGAAAGAAGAGAATATGATGACCACAAGAGAAAGAAGAAAGATGTGAATATAATAAAGAAACAAACGGGGAAGACGAATTGACTAATAGTGAAGTAGAAAAATGATGAGATGTTAAGCACAAAAACTAAAGAAACGTTGACACAAATACTAAGAGCAGGAACAAAAGTATGTAATAGCAATATGATGGTATAACATTAAGGGTTTGTTTGGATTGAGGGGAATAAGGGTGAAGGGAAGTTAGGGGAACCATTCACCTTGTTCGGGAATATTTAGGAGGGAAGTTATTCACCCTAGTTCCCCTTGGTTCACCCCCTAATAGTATAAAATTTGTTACCCCCGAAATTAGGGTGTAACCAAGGGGAAGGGAACTCCCTTCCCTTCCCTTCCATTCTCTCACCTAGTTTCCCTTAACTTCCCTTAACCCCATTGAAATCCAAACACACCCTAAGGCATATACCATTGAGGCGCGAGGCATTCTGACATGTGCACATCGCGTACCTCACACAATTTGCCCTGCATCTCATGCATGGTACAGTTGTAGCGCCTCGAAGTGTCCAACACCCAAGGTGATCGCCTTGTAGCTTGAGATAATACTGATGTAGATTTCTGCCTATTGCCAAAGGAAATCTCGGAGATCCATCATATTCTTTGATGGACCCCATTGTTACTTTAATCTCATCCTGGCTTTTTCTCTTATTGCCTCTGGTTTAATGAAAGTTCAGACAATTGCAGAAAACAACAAAAAAGAATTTGATGCTAAAAGGGTTCTTAAACAAGAAGAAATTGACTCTTAGCTGAACTGGAGTTTGAATTTGATTATTCAAGCTGGCGTATAGGGGTATTAATGCGTTTCCATAATTCAGAAAATGGGAAAATATTAGTTCAAAGATAAGTATGAAAGTGATAAGTGAGAAATCATTTTCTATGCAGAATTAAACACTATTCAATTCAGCTTGTAAAACTCTTCTTTCCATCTCTAATTCAGCCTTTAAATGGATCATGTACTGGGTAAAGGTAGGATAGAGTTAAAAACCCTGGTACCACATCAGATAACTGACATAAAGTAGAATAGAAACTAAAGGCATCATTGGTTGGGTTTTATTTATTGTTGGATAGACTACGCATAAGTAATTTTTGACTATGTTACTAGTCATGACTAAATTGATGAAAACACTAAAAAATGCGTATATTAAGACTTAGTTCTGCACTGTTTTAAATATGGATGCTAATATGTCATGGCAACATGCTTGGATTTAAATGAGAAAGTCCCAACATGACAATCTTTACTTTGGTGCATGAAAAGAATTTCTAAATTAGTGAATCATATGAAAAGTTTTGGCCAAATAAATGGTATGTTGAACTCATTGTTATGCTGTCAAATGTATTTTGCATAAATAAGTCTGAGGCTTGGAACCAACCGTGTTTGTTTTTTTCATGTGGAAACATGACCACTTTATGCGATGAAAAATCTGATATCTTACAAGACAATGACTTATATTTGTTTTAGGATTTCTTTTCCTTCTTGTAGGCTATATCAGAGGATGTTAAAACTTTGGAATGCCAATTTTAATTATGTTACCTTTTTGGAGTTTTCTTATATTTTTTAAGGTTCTATAAGCATCAGTTTCTTATATTTTTTATGGTTCTATAAGCACCAGTTTCTCTTTTTCATCCTCTATTTGATTTCTTTCGTTTTTTAGCTCCTCTAGAATTCTGCCCCTTTATACAATAAATAAGTGTGTTAGTTTCATCTTAATTTCAACTCTTCTGTACAATCATATAATTTACAATCCTTGGTTCTCTTTTAGTGGCATCTTGGTTTCATACTGACAGATTGGTATGACTAAAATTGTGCTGCATGAAAATGATAACATGGTTTAGAGCACGATATGCTTACACCTGCCTACATAACTGTTCTCTCTGTTTTTAATTCAACTGAGTGGCTGTAATCCATTTACAAGATTAGAGTTATCTATCACTTATTGTTTAATGAACAAAATGAAATCTAATCTGAATTAAGTATATGGACAATAAGACTTGACACGTTTTTCCAATGAGTTTGGCCCTTGTCTTAAATGAATAAATTATGAATAAAACACCTTTATTATTGGCAGGGGCTAGTCTCAGCTCTTCACACACACACAATTGAGACTTGGATATTTCTTGTTTCAATGTTACGATGGAGCAGTCTTGAGGTTCGCGTTGCATGTTACATATGATAACATTTTTCTAATTGCTCAGATCTATTTGTGCATGTTGTCAGTTGAATGTACCTTTATAATTCCTCGTGAAGCTATTAATCTATCTCTGACGAAATAATATTTTGCAATGGAGCTGTAATTTAGAGTAATTATATTACTTTGTTTCACAAAGCAATATCTCTGATTTCCAAATCAGGAACTACTTTTAAACCAGAATATCCTGTTCCTTTATGATTGGAATATCTTCTTTGAGGGACTTTATTTTCTTTTTTTTATTTCAACATTTTTTCCCTGTGAACTCTTATGTTTTCCTGCCTCTTCACTTATGACTCTGAATGAACTGCAGTTCTGAGAATGGAGTTGGATATTCAGAAGTTCATGCAGAACCCAGATCAACATCAGTTTGAGTTCCAGCATTTCCCAACTTCATACCTCAGATGTGCTGCTCATCGTGTTGCCCAGCATTATGGCCTACAGACATCAGCATTAGATTATACTGTAGATGGTCCAGGAAGCAAAATAGTAGCAAGGAAAACACCTGAAAGCAAATTCCCGGCCATCTGTTTATCAGATATTCCTCTAAAACAACCTGAAACTAACAAACCTCATAAAGTTAAGATTGCTATCCTTCCAAGACAGGACAAACCTTCCATGGCTGATTCAGTCCATCTTGGAATGAAGAGAAATACTATGAGAACCGTGGAAGAGAGGGAAGAAGAATATGATAAAGCAAGGGCCCGCATCTTCAATGGCTCTTCCAAACCAGTGATAGGCCCATCTTCTATATCCGCCACTGTTGATAAAAGCAACATATGCCCAAGCTCAGATGGGCAGGAATCGTACAAGACTTCCATTGATACGAGTGAAAAAAACAGCGCGAAGGATGGTGCTTCTCGAGTTGCCATTTTCAGAGATAGGGAAAAGGATATGACTGATCCAGATTATGACCGTAGCTACACCAGGTATGGTGTCATTCATTCAAACTGATTGCTTTCTCATTACAATCTGCATCCAGTATGTTCATATAGGTAAATGTTACTTCAAATCTGCAGGTATAATAAGGGTATCACACCTTCCCATAGTTTTAACTTGGCTCCGTGCAATGTTCTTCAGCCTTCACCTGTGCAATTTCAGGAGAGCATTTCACACTTGGGTCAGTTACCTGCAACTCAACCTTTGGTGAGTTACAGACTGTCAGACCCGCCTATGAGCCCCTATGTTCCAGTTGGTCGCAATCAAACTCCAGTGGATACTGTCTACATGCAATGGCCAAATCCTGCAGTTATGTATGCACAGTCCTATGTTAGACGCCCCAGTTTGCAGGTAGTATTGCATAACGCGTAAAATACGATTTTCTTATGCTGAACCAAACTTAGGTTTTTGCTCTGCTTGGGCCTCTTTCTGTGTCATGGGGACCATGCATGGTTTTTCTTGGATGCTGATATAAATTTCGCCATGATAAGCCTTTGTTGTTAATTGAAGCTTTCCCAGTAAACTTTTAAGTGACATGGATTACCTTTTTACTTGCCGTGTTTTCCAGTGTATCACATGATGTTCTGCATCACTTTTGTTTCAATTACAGCATATAGCAATTTAAAATAAGGGGTAATTGCAGGTAGACCCCCCTGCAGTTTTATTTTTGCGGATATAAACCCTCAGTGAACTTTTTGTCTCTTTCGAGAATTCATTCAAGGTGTCTATCTGCACTTGGGCAGATAGTACAAGGGTTATCCGTACCTGTAGAGCTACAGGCGTTTTATCCACTAATGGGTAATTATACCTGGGCTCTATCTGGAATTAACCCTTAAAATAATTACAAACATATAGAAAAAAGTATAGCTGTTGATGTGGTCTATAATTTTTAGCTCGGAAAATGAATGTCACACGTCTAAAAAGACTGCTGGAGACATTGTTTTAGTCATGACTGCATATGTGTATTTTTTTCTGAATATTTGTACATGACTTATAGGACAATTAGCTTTCATGTTCTTATATTTATTTTTAAAAGTGAAATATGATTTACATATTTTAAGTTAGGAACATCAATGCACACAAGTGCATGTCCTCATTGTCCTGGCACATCCTACACACAACTTTGGTTTGGGTTCTTAGGTGCGCTTTGTATAATCATGTCTTCTGGCTTTGCTTATAATTTTGAGTTTTTTTTTTCTTTTTCATTTATTTAAAAATCTAGTCTCCCGGATGCTTTTCTCCAGATTTGTCTTCTTTAATTTTGTTAACATATTATATTATGTTTAAAGAAAGGGTTAATTGCACATTACCCCCTGTTGTTCGTAGTTGCAGATAGACCCACTGGTGTTGGATTTTTTTAACTCTTTAGATAGACTCACTAATTTCACCCTAGGATAACATCTGTCAAAATTTCAGTAATGGTAAACAGAGTCAAAAAAATTCAACCTAGGGGGTCTCTCTGCAACAATGAAACTTGCAGGTGTAATTAAGTTCAAAATGGTAGTTCTACACTTTGGGCTATGTTGCCTTTGACCCTTTAAGATACCATTTTAATGGTATCCTTCGTTTCCCTCATCCGAAATGTATCTGAATTATTAGGTTTCTGGTGGCACTATTTGTATTGAAATGCGGTGCTTGTTTCATGGCAGGCTCCAGTTTATCAGCAGCCCCTGAGCTTTGAACGTTGGCAGAGCTACTAGGAAATCAGGGGACCTGTGTATCCGGAATTTTGATATTTAGGGGACTACTATTGTAAGACACCACCAAATATTACCGCATAGTTCTTTTGTATTTCTATGTCTTCCGTCTCTACTGAAAAGAAAAGTCTCTTCTAGTTCTTGCTTCTGTATTTCTACTGAGGGACAATGCAAATGTTGTGTTTGTTAACTATCTTTTGCTGGAATAGGAACATTATGTCTTTCCATCTCTCTATTTTATTTATTGATTTCTTGTTTTTTCTGTCTTGACTCTTGTTTGGATACGATGGGTTTTCCTATGTTCGACATAATTTTGCCGTGAATCACAAAGACCAAATTGCCGTAGGATTGCTGTTGTCTATATGCTGAAGCAAGCCATGCTACTATGAAGAAACTGAAATTTGTTGAGTCCCTGTATGGGAATCCTCATTTGAATACTTACAAGAAATTGGGAGTTAAATGTTAAATGACAACAATTAGTTAGAGAGGATATGTAGACGTAAGGGCATATATATCGATGGCATCAGATAATTTATGCTCCTCTGGAGTCGTTTGGAAAGTTCTAGGCCTTGTTTGATCGAGTAGAGCTTTGTATCAAAAGAATAAGAACGCCAAATTTCTTTTATCAGATCTTTTCTTTTTAAACAAACCCCATCGATAGCAATCCTAATTGATATAAATTAAGAATACCTAATTAATTCTATAAAAAAAAAATTTCTAGAAATTTCTCTAAACTATGTCAGTTTCTTTATATTCTAAATACGTCAGATCGACAAACATTCATATAAAATAAGAAAAGCTAACATATTCTCTTATATATAAGCATCAATCTTGAAAAACTAAGAAGAGAAAACATACTACCAAATACACAGCCATGCCAAAGAAATCCAAGAATCTCCCTCAAAATCTCTTCGTGGAGATGTTGTCCAGACTGCTGCCATTACGGTCCATTTTCAGATTCTGTTGCGTTTCAAAGCTACGGAACGAGATCCTAAACGGGGAATACTTCTTAAACCTCTACTCTCTAAGCCATCAATATCCTCATCCTAATTCCTCACCTACAATTCTATTCTTCTACTATGAAACAATCAGTGATAAATCTCTCATCACCATCTCCTTCAATGGTTCTCCAATCCATCACAAGGACTGTGCATCCAACTTCATCCGATCTTTGTTGCATTTATGCTCTCCATGACTTGCAATGATCTTCTATGTATTGCTGCTATTAGATATTATCGATATTTAGATTTAGGAGATTATGGGATATTATTGAGATATTGTGATTGTGAAAACGGCGAAGGAATTGTGAAAAACGTGAAGAATAACTCAAAACAGACTCCACCACACCCTGGTGTGGTGTCTGCCATGGGTGTGGCAGAATCTGTCCTGCACCACACCCGAACCACGTAAAACCTTGGTGTTTGTGTTTTGTTTGGTCTTTCTCTCGGCGTTCGTTGGTTTGGTTTCTCAAAGCATCAGTCACAACAAGTGGTATCAGAGCACGGGCAACGCTTGGGCTATTTGGAGGAGTAGATCGCTTTGGAAGTTCATCTAGGGCTTCGTTTGGTGATAAAGGTGGGATCTTTTTTTGTAAAAATCTCGTCTTTTTCAGTTTGGATCTATTTCTCGTTTGTTTCCGCATTGGTTTGGTGGTGCCTTGAGGATTATGGCCGAGAAAGAAGGAGTTGTGGGCAGTACTTCCGGCGTGAAGACCGTCCAAAGCTTGAATATCCACTCAATGAAGATTGATGTGGAAAAGTTCAATGGCACAAACAATTTTGGACTTTGGCGATGCGAAGTCATGGATGCGCTCAACGCGCAAAATTTGGAAGATACGTTGGAGTTGGACGGGAAACCGGACAACATTGATGAGAAGGTTTGGAAAAAGATGAATCGAACGGCGTGTGGTGTGATTAGGTCTTGTCTCACTCAAGATCTAAAGTATGATGTGATCAATGAGACTTCTGCAAAGAAGATTTGGGAGATCCTTGAGAGCAAGTATTTGACCAAGAGTGTGGAGAATCGCTTGCATTTGAAGAGGAGGCTTTACCGCTTCCAGTTGAAGAAAGGAACCTCCATTGGTGATCACATGAACCACTACACGAAGCTTCTTGCGGATTTGGCGAATGTGGATGTTAAGATTGAAGATGAGGACAAGGCGTTGTTGCTATTGAGTTCCTTGCCTGACGAGGAATATGAGACCTTCGTTCTTACTCTTATTAATGGGAAGGCATCTCTTTCGTATAGTGAGGTCACCGCTGCACTTGTGAATTATCAGCTTCGAAAGAAGGATAAGGAGACTTCGTTTGAGCCGGTAGCGGGGGCGTTGGTCGCAAGAGCAAAGGGTCCAAACCGTAGTGGGAGGTCGCAGTCTAGAGGGGCACATCTTGGAGTTCGTAAGAATCAATGTGCCTTTTGCAAAGAAGATGGACATTGGAAAGCCGATTGCCCAAAGTTAGTTGATCGAGCCGGGAAGAATAAGGGAAAAGCTATTCAAGCTTCAGAGGCGAATGTTGTCAAGGCTAGTGGCAACGATTCAGATTCGGATTCTTCGGGCTACTCGTTATCTGCACTGCCGTCAGTTTGTGTTGCCTACTCTACAGAGTGGATATTGGATTCGGGTGCTACATACCACATTTGCCCTAGGAGGGATTGGTTCTCCAGCTTTCAGGAGTTGGAAAGAGGGGATTTCGTGCTCATGGGGAATGATCACAAATGCTCTATTGGTGGTATCGGTACCGTTCGGATCAGGATGAGTGACGGGGTGATTCGGGAGTTGGTTGGAGTGAGGTTCGTTCATCAGTTGAAGAAGAACATCATTTCACTTGGAGCTTTAGAGGTAGCAGGCTATAGGGTGACCTTGGCGGATGCACGCTTGAAGGTTACATTTGGGTCCATGATTGTGATGAAGGGCGTCAGAAGGAGCAATTTGTACTATTTGCTTGGGAGCACGGTGATTGATAGGGAGATGACGACTTCATCAGATTCGGCTAGACTGTGGCATTGTTTGGTGCTGGGGTATATGATTGGTAATACCGTGCATTGGTTGTTGAGGAGTGCTATGACCTGCAGATTGAAGTCCTGTGAGCATATTGGGATGAGCAAGACCGTGGTGGAGTTTGGCATTCCTATCCATCGAGCGAGGGGTCTTTTAGGAGGTGTTCAGTCAGGCATTTGGGGGCCTTCCAAGGAGGCATCATTGGGAGGTAATCGTATCTTAGTTTCCGCAGTTGAAGATTGTTCTAGGCATTATTGGGTCGCGACCAATTCCCGTTGGTGTAAAGTCCTAGAAGTCAACAACAATTGGAAGAAGTGTATTGGCAGAAAGGTAGCTCGTTGTTCTAGATTTGATAAGGGTCCTTTCTTGCGTTTGTGCCGAGCTCACGGCAATAGGAGACACTTCATTGGTGTGGAGACTTTGGGGCGACGAGATGAGATGACAGTTTCGATGGGTCGTTCCTTTCTGGAGGAGGATCGGCGTTGGCTGTCGAGCATTGGTTCTGGAGCTTCGACATATTTGGGTCATCTTAGTCACAGGTCGTCGACTGCTGCATTAGGAGTTATTGGATCTGGTGGAGCTGCTTCAGATTTTGGGTTGCGTCGGATATTTGGATACCCAGCATTTGGTCACATCGAGGATGTGAGATTTGATCCGATTGCGCGTTTGGGGTTCAGAGGCTCATTTGATTATCGTTTGGGAGCTTCTGATTTTGTTCTGAGCAGGTATGTCACTTTTGACTCTCGGCAGGTGGAGAGTGTTGATCAGGTCATTTGGATATCGCAGCAGGTGGAGAGTGATGCTACTCCACGTTGGGTGGAGATTACTCCACATACTCCAGATCATACTGCGTCATTTGGGATTCCAGCTGAGGTGACACAGGTTGGGGATCATTTGATTTCGGATGCAGATAATGGATTGGTTTTGGATTCGGTTGCAGCTGGTGGACATGATTTGGATACGGCCATTGGTTCACCTCAGATGGAGGTGTTTGATTTGTATCAGTTTGGGGCCGCTATTAGTTGCAGATCCGTTGGCGATATTGGGGAAGAGTTGCAGACGATGCAACAAGTGAGGCATTTGTTTTGGTTGGTGTCGGCTCAGTGTTGGGAACACTTCGCCGAGGTGGAGAATTGTGAAAACGGCGAAGGAATTGTGAAAAACGTGAAGAATAACTCAAAACAGACTCCACCACACCCTGGTGTGGTGTCTGCCATGGGTGTGGCAGAATCTGTCCTGCACCACACCCTCTGCCACACCCACGGTGCAGGGTGTGGCAGAATCTGTCCTGCACCACACCCTCTGCCACACCCATGGTGCAGGGTGTGGCAGACTCGTTTTTAGAATCCCAATCAGTTTGGGATTGTGTTTTGCTATAAATAGAGACACGTTTTTTAGGGTTTCCTAGGCTTGGTTTAGGCTTTGATTAAGCATTGATTGGGGGCTATTTGGAGCACAAAAAGAGGTATTTTTGAGCTATTTGTTTAGGGTTTTATTTGGAGAGATTAAGAGCTTTGTGGTGAGATTAGTTTGTTCCTTTGAGCGTATTGTAATCTCAGTTTGTACTCTTTCTCTATTAGTTAAAACCCCATCCCCCCTTGCCCCGTGGACGTAGGCAACTTGCCGAACCACGTTAAAATTGGTGTTTTGTTTGTGCATTGATATTTGGTTCGTTTGGCTCTCTTGGATTGGCGTTTGGTTTGGTTCCTCGACACAGCTTCAGGCACAACAGTGATATGTGATCAGATACGATTTTATTTCATATCTATTTGGTAATATCCTCCTAATCTCTATTTAAGAGAGATGATGGTTAGATGAATAATAACTTTGGCTTTTTTATTTCTCTACAACGTTGATTCTAGGAACTTCTCCTAGCTTTCTAGATACCGAGGTCATTGAGTGGTTTTTTGAATGGCCTTCATGCTCCCTTCGACAACTACGACAACATTTTTTGTGTCTTCGACAACATTTTTAGTTCCTACATCATTTGATTAACTAGTTAATTAGCATATTCAGAAATGTTCTTGTATTATTAACTAGTTAATTAGCACATTCAGATACATGTGCTATTGCTTTGCTTAAGGATTTCATATTTGATACCACATATTCCATCACAATCTAGTTATGAAGAAAGACTTCGTTATAGAAAACAATGTTATTTGATGCCAAAAATCTTTCTACACCATCAAATACATATCCCGAATCTTCACAATCTAATTTGAGGGAAACCTTCAC